ACCAACTGAAGAAAGCCTTTAAGTCAGTTTTTGATTACCTCTTAGCCAATAGTTTTTTATACATATTGTTGGGAAATGTAAAATTCTTTCTTCATATCTCGTAGAATCACGGTAGATCCCATACAGCCCTCTGTTAGTAATGACCATCTGGTACTACAAGGCTGCTAAATGCTGGAACCAGGCTTCCTAACCGCTGGGACTGAAATATTGTGGAGAGTAGGTATGGACATATTGAGTATTTTGAGGCTTTTAACTTGTGAGGAAAGAAAGAGAAAAAAGAGAAAAGTTCCCAAATGAGTAGTAGTAGCTCCAAAGCCATTCTCATTCTTTCAGTTTCACCTACCAACCATCCTTACACAAACTAATAGTTATATGAAGGTCATCTTTTAGTTTATCCTGTTTTAAGAAAAGCTTGCTCTTTAAAAACAGTTTGATGTTTTCAAATATTTAGAACCATCTTAAGACAGTTTATACACACCTGTTAAGTAAAATGTACCAGGGTGTCTCAGTACTTACCAAGTCCGCCCCTTGTAATCTTTTTGTCGGTAAGAAAGCCTCCATGAACACTCCGTATGTCAGACCTCATGTTGAGCGCTTTATGTGAACCTCGGTCAGCCTGCAAGGTGACGACTCACCTTAGAGCTGAGGCAACTGGGGCTTAGAAAAGTTGGAAAACTCATACAAGGTTAGACTGCTGTTGTCAGAGCTGGAATCCTAGCTCAGTTCTACTTTTCTCCGAAGTCTGAATGTGTGGTGGTTGTGCTCTGAGAATGGAGAATGGGAGAGGGACAGAAGCCTGATGATTACCCACACCTTTCACAGCCCTTTTTCTCTCACCATCACACCAACCTGTCTGAAACGCCACTGGGCCACCCATTCCTCAGAGTGAGCACAAAGACATAACCAAAGGTCTGGGTTCTCCTGTACAGATTTGCAAAGTTTATATTCGTTTCAAATCCTAATTCTCCGGTCCTCTTTTATTAGTTTTCTATTGCTGCTGTAACAAATTATTACAAATTTAGTGGCTTGAAATCACACAGATTTATCTTACGCTTCTGTGGATCAAAGTCTAATGGGGATCTCAGTGTTGTCGGAGGGTGCGTTCCTTTTCTGGAGGCTCTGGGAAGAACCCATTTCTGTGCGTTTTCCATCTTCTGGAGGCCACCCACCTTCCATGCCTCATGGCCCCTTCCTCCATCTTCAGAGTCAGCAACATGGGGCTGAGTCTTTCTGCCGTCTCTGACCATCCCTTCTGATTTCCTCTTCCACTTCTAAGGACCCTTGTGAGCACGGTGGACCCACAGAGATAATCCAGGATAAACTTTTTTTTTTTTTTTTTTTTTTTGCGGTCCGCGGGCCTCTCACTGTTGTGGCCCCTCCTGTTGCGGAGCACAGGCTCCGGACGCGCAGGCTCAGCGGCCGTGGCTCACGGGCCCAGCCACTCCGCGGCATGTGGGGTCTTCCCGGACTGGGGCACGAACCCGTGTCTCAACCACTGCGCCACCAGGGAAGCCCAGGATAAACTTATTTTAAGGTCCACTGATTAGCAACCTAAATTCCATCCGTGACCTTAATTCCCCTTTTCCTGTGTAACCTAGCATATTTACAGTTTCCAGGGATTGAGATGTACAACCTTGAGGGTCATTATTTACCATATCTCTTAACTTGCTAATTGTAGCTTAAATTGTAGGTGAACCAAATCCTAGTTACAAGTTTTTTGGAGTTATGAAACATCTAAGGCCATAGTAAATGTTTAAAAGTTAAGAAACATAATACCAACAATAGGAAAGTGGAGTGACAAGTTAAGCCACTTGGATATTATTAACGTGTTTATGTATGTGCGATAACATAAAACTACTTGTCAGCTGGTGAATTTGCATACAGCTGTTCTCAGTTTTTTTTAATAGCGGCTGTGTATAAATCAAGTTTAAGTGCATTGTGAGAGCTTGCTGGTGAACAGGATCTTATTAAAGCAAATAGTTTAAACGTTTGAACATACCGGTTGCATTATTCCCATCTCCTCAGATCCCTGTAAAACAATGGTCAGGTTGCCACTTAGTAATGACCACAAAAGGCAGTTCACATAGTCAACACTTGACTTTTGTCTCCCAAGGCAAATCACAAATAAAATTGGTTACTGCTCTTATGAAGGTGCCAAACACCCTGATTCTTTGGCTTCTGTTTCATAAAGAATTTTAATTCATGTATAGAGCAAGAGAGTACTTGAATGGGTGAGTTGAAACACAAATATTAGGTCAATAGCTAGAAGTGTCTTAAAAAAATGAGTTCACTGTTTTATAGGTAAGTATTTCTATCTCTTGGCTAAGGTATTTCAGCTTACTTTAAAAAATGTTCTCATGTTTACATTCAACACTTTGTTTCAGAAGCATCATGACGTTATAGTAAAATGATCTGAAAGGTCCTTAGCAATTTTTATTTTGTGATGGAAAAGCATATCACATAGGAAATCTTCAACGCCATCATCACTAGGGTAGCAAAAACAAATAATGTTGGTAACTTACCACATGAAATTTTGGATTTTAAGGCGAAAAAATATTTTAACCAAGTCATTCTGACTTACAGGAGAATCTCTAGGTAGCAGTGTTCACTTCTTCTTTTGTGCCTATTCTTCAGGCATTTGCTGGGTTCTTAGAATTCAGTGGTGAGCAATACCCTAACCCTCCAACCTCTTGGAGCTTGCAGTGTGGTGTAGAAAGGCCAGTGGTCACATCTGAATGTAAGACTACAGCTGTGAGAAGCAGTTTTAAAGCAACAATTCTCAAACTTACTGGTTTCAAGACCCCTTTACCCTGTTAACAGTTAATGAGACCTCTAAAGAGTTTTTGTTTTTTTGGATTGTGTCTATCCTTATTTAGCGTATTAGAAATTACAATTTTTTTAATTGTAAAAATACTTGTTTGACAGTAATCCCATTATATGGTAATAACATTTTATGTAAAATAACTTCCAAGCTAAGTCAGTTTAGTTAAGAGACAGGTCTTTTTCATGTATGTACGTCTCCAGTGTGTCTGACTTAAGACACAGCTGGATTCTCTTATCTGCTTCTGCATTTAATGTTTGGCAATATGTCATTTTGTTTGAAATACATGAAGATCTGGCTTCACACAGAATTGTCGTTGGGAAAGGAAGAATCTGGATCCCCTGAAAATATCTAGGGGCCCTCGGGTCCTTCGACTCTACTTTGGGAAGTGCTGCTTTAAAGAAAGGCACACTGTATTATGAGAAGATGTGGCCAAATGTGATGGGTGTGTGGTATAGGCAAAGTTTCCTTGAAGCTTTTGTAGCCTTCCTAAAACAGCTTTCTTGCCTTTTTGCATAAAATGTGTATCTTTGAAAGTCAACTATCAAAAGGAATTTTTTTAGAACATTATGATCTCAACTCCAAAGTTAAATGGAATGGTATGGACCAAAGCAAATTTAGGTCACAGTTTTTCAGCATAGTTTGCATGGAGTTGTCTTGTGTAGTTTCTGTTAAAAAACAAAACCTTTGAATTGATGCATAGACATTCTGCAGTTCTACCTTACATTATATTTTGCTCACACACTTTCTAATGTTGATAGGAATAGTATGTCTGGGGACACTTTGTGTCCCGTCGAATAATGCCAAAGTTCCTAACTGTGGTTTTGGGGCTTTGCAAGACTGTTTGTAGCTTTCTGATTGCAGTGGAGTGGCAAAAATAACAAGTCAAAAAAAAAAAAAATCCGTAAAGTTCTGCAGTGATAAACTGTTCATCTAGCTGCTTTGTATAGACTGGAATCTGTACAGGCAGGTTTTGATTGTTAATAGCATTGGCAAGTTAAACTGTGCATCAGTTCTATGTGTGAAGCCTTTTCTCCATTTAATAGATAATTATAGGTTTTTCCTTTTCAACTTTACGTGCTCCTATTACCAAGATTTTTTTCCTCCACACGGTCCAGTTCTACCTGTTAGAGCTTTATGTCGGTCATGTGTTATCAGTTGCTTTCCTGGTGGCAAAATTGTCATAAACGCCAAACTCTGAAAACGTTAAGTAACAACAGCAGCAATGACCGTCTCCCGGTCTGAACGGTGGGAGGGTGAAAATGCTCTTCACAGTTACACCAGTAACTGGTGTTTGGGCAAAATGTACTTTCTCAAGTTATGCTTTTAATGGCACAGATATTATCAGGAAAATAATGTTCAATAACATTATTCAGAACCTGTTTTATGCTCAGTTTGGAGACCTGTAGCCTTGAATGGTTAAATATAAATGCAGTTTAATTTTAAAATTTGATCAGTTATATAAGTACATGGCTTAAAAAGTCAAGAAATTCTACAACATTTATAAACAAAACCCAACAGTGTCTGCACTGCTCTCTGGAGATAACCGCATCCAATTCTTTTAGACATTTCTTAGGATATTTGTGAGTGACATGTATATGCCATCTTTTTAAGTTAAAAAAAAACACTATAATATCTATTGATAACTTACTGTGGAAGACAGGGATTTAACTTTCACCAGCTAACTCTTCTTTCCCCCATCTCTGCCTCCCCACATTCATTCAATGATTTTTGGTTTAAGTCTGTATTCAGATTTCACATTATTTCAATCATATAACTATTCATAGCTGAGGCATGTAATAGGCTATGATATTTCCTTTGTTAATAATTTTAATTTTTCCTTTGGTTAATACTTTTGCCTTTTTCTTATTTTTCTTTGTATGTATCACTAATTCATTTTCACCTAAACTTTATTTAAAAAACAGTTCACAGATGAATAAACACTAAATGAACTAATGGAGAGAAAACTCAGGACTCAGATAAATTGGATGTAGGAAAAATGGCCAAAATCTTTTCTCCAGCTATATTTTATAAGCTTATAAAAAAAAAGAAGTGTTAACATTTAGACTATTTCAGGTAATAGTAAACAGTTGATTTCCAGTAAACAATATGCCAAAGAAATAACTATCAACTATATTTACATACATATTTTATATATTTAAATTGCTAGTTTGTTAGCCTAATCTTGTTCATCACCATTATAAACATTGTATCCTTCTGATTTAATTAACTCAATTTTTTTTGAATCTTGAAAAAATACATCTTTAATTTTGCCAACAAAACTTCTTTTAAAAATCTCTTGAGTAACAATATTTACCTTTCGGCCATATTCAAAGCCCCCCAGATAACAAATACCATCATAGTTGAGAGCAACAAACTTTTTGTGTGGATTAGTATCCTCAGAGAGAATTAGGTTGTCATCTAGGTAGGCCTTAATAAGAGTCTGATTTTGAATTATAATTAAATGGTGCCACTTATTGCAACAGAATGTACCATTGCTATAAATCATAGGTACAGAGATGCTTTCTCCTAAGTTAACTGCTATTTTCAGGGTCTGATTATGGAGACCAATTGCCAGAAAATCATTGTCTTCATTTTGAGCTTTTCCTACCCATACGATTAAACCTTCTGTTTCAGTAGTACTGAAATTTAAGGATATAGTAGTGAACTGAAGATTTCTCATTCTGTAATCTGGATCAGTGTATTTAATGTAAGAATTACCCATAAATTTTGCAGTTGAAAATGAAGTGTTGTTTTCACAATACCTTCCCACCCAACCCAAAGTACACAAACAACTGTAAGAAAATGATTGGTCAGGTAAACATAGAGATTGGTGGAGGCAAAGATTATTCAAACAGTACACAGACTGGTCACATGTATTTCCTGCCCAATGTGGTAAGCAGCTGCAAGAAAAAGTTGTGCCATTTACTATACATTCACCCCTGTTTTTGCACACGTTGTACCCACAGGCTGTCCCATCACAGTCACCTACATTTGAACCACCTTTTGCTCCTAATTCGGTTAATTGTAATTCTTGATTATTTATAATAACTTCTCGGACACAACCTTGAAAACCTACAGGCTCTTTCCCTGTTGCCATGGGATTTACAAGATTTAAGGATGACACTCCTCCAATATAGAAGTCGGTATTTGTGTCCAGGGAGCTCATTTTAACGTTGGCTTTTTCTGTTACATTTATCCCATCCAAAGTCAGGTAGCTTCCTGCACCATCTCTTCCTGCTTTAATCACATGCCAAGTATTTCTATTAATAGTTACTTTTTGGAGAGTTTCTAGAACGATAGTTCTGTCACCAAGATTGTAGCGGAGTTGAACAGAACCGTTTACTAAAGAGATACATAAAAAATCACCTGTGGAGAAAGAAAAGCAACAGTAAATTGTCACTTCATTAAAAACTTGCCCCTTTTTGGAGAAAAAAGATAACAAATCTTGATCACAGTTATGTTAGAGAGTTTTGTGTCCATTTACAGATCAAAATATATCGATACATTCATACACATATCCTGTATTCTTTTGCTCTGGAGTTGGCCACATATGTTTTCCCTGGTTGTAAATATTTCACACTGAATGAATGTATTGTGGTACCAAGTTAAAGTGAGGTTTTTCTTTAACGGTTTAAGTTAAGGATGAATGTGTAAAAATTAAGTTGGATGTTTGACTCTGAGCCACTGATGCTGTTTTTGACAGACGGTGGTGGTGGGGGGAAGATAAGAGGAGTGTTGACTGGAAAAAATGCACAACCTACAAGTTGAGAATTATGTTTTATTTGGCAGACTTTCTAAGGACTTCAAGCCCGGGAGACAGGACTCTCAAATCACTCTGAGGGACTGCTCTGAAGAGGCGGGGCGGGGCCGGGGTGCAGGGAGACAGATGACAACAGGAAATAATCAACAAAGACCAGGTGGTCAGAATATCAAAAGATTACTGTTAATTAAAGAAAACCAGACATCTCGAGCTAAGGAATTTAGTGCTTTTCTATGTATGGGAAGATGCAAGAGTCTGGGCTCACTGAAATCATTCCTTTGACATGCAGCTCAGCTACCTGGGGCCAGTGCCCTGTGCTTTTTCATCCTGAGTCCCCTCAGGGTGCACCGTCGGGTGTGGCTGCAGCAGCTGACTGCTTGATGCGGGGCATCCTGTTTCCATCCTGCGTTCCCCCAGGGCTCACCTGGGGAGGCTGCAATGTGGTGGCTTGATGGCTGCAACATCCTTTGTTTACTGATAGAGCAGCGACATTTCTCCTTCACAGAAGTAAGAGCGATTAGTGGTGGTGCTATGAAAATCTCATATGGTGTGCTTTCCAAAGTTTCAGCCATGCTCTTGGCAGCAAGCTCTATCTACAAGTACGCAAATCTCTATGAGCTCTCTGCTTGGGTGTTTCTCTCAGTTTGTGAACTTCCTTCCATACACCTGGTCTCCTTCAGTCTTTCCAAACTCAGTTAAGTCACTCCATCCATCCAGTGATCAGATACAATATTTAAGTGTGATCCTGGGTCTCTAATCAACAGATTTTCTAGCATTTTGGTTCGTTGTAAACACCTTCATTCTGCCCACTTCTCTCCTGCCACCTTAGTTAAATTTACTGTCATCTCCAGCTTGATCTATTGGGAGAGCTGCTCCACCCTTCTTGCTTTCCAGTTGATTTTCTAATCTACACTGAAGCTCAAGTGATCTTTGCAAATGAAAGTCTGATCATTATGCTATCCTTTAATGGCATTCCCTGTTGGGATAAGAACCTAGATTCTTTAAGGTATAGAGACTCCCTCTCCAGCAGCCTTACTGGGAGTGCTCTCCCCTCTCCTCCAGCAGCACTGACCTTGTTAGGGTTTACCCTTTTCTTACAGAACATTTGCGTGTGTTGTTTTCTTGTAAAACTTCCCCGTCCCGCTCCACCTACTCTAGGTAACTCCTGCCCATCTTTCAGGTCTCGGATCAAATGCCACTTCCTCAGAGAAGTCTTCCTTGATTCCACTATTGCTTTAATAGCACTAGTTTTCTCTCCTTCACAATATTTATCTCATTTTATAACTCTATAGTCATGTCTGAACAAATCTGAACAAATAGTATCCAGCATGTGTATGAAAGTTTCAGTGAGGCATTCAGAGGAAAAGCAAATGCAACTCTCCATGCCTGGGAAAAGAATGTAGCCCTACAAGGTAAGATTCCTTCCAGAGGGCAGCAAAGTGTTTAACATAGCAAAACATGTAGAAATCTTCCTTGAGACTGTATTTTCCCTTCCCCCTAACATTTCACAACCAATAAAATTTTCCCTTTTCTTGTCCAGGGCGATTTCTTGACAAGTGGTACTCTCCTCCTACATGCATTGTCCACGCTGTCTCACCTCCTTCCAGCACCCAATGTCTGTTATTTTTCCTCCCCTTTGTGGTCCACACCAGGCTATTCAAGGATGGTTGGGAGACCTAGCAGCTCTAAAGTCACGCACCTCTCATTTCTACCTGTATGAGACCATGCAAAATACGGTTGTCTTGTTTTTAATCATTTTCCTCATAGAGAATTTCTAGTGAATATAATCTACGTCATTACATCCGTGATTATTTGACTAACAGCTGCCTTATCCACCAACTTGTAAGTTTCTTGAGAATAGGATCTGTGCCGCTTTGGCTCAACATTTTATCCCCTGCACCGTGCACAGTGTCTGGCACAGAAGATGCTCATAACTAATTGTTCAATTAGGAAATTCCTTTTGTATACTTGTGGGGTGAGATGACTCAGTATTTCTCAACAACTAGTTTTAGGCCGAAAGCAAAACAAAACAAAAACAAAAACATCTTTTCCCTGTAATATACATAAGTTTAAAATTTTTCCCAACAAAAGGAAGAAATTCAGTTTATTCATGGATTTTCTAACATAAACACCATTTTAAGCCTAAAGAAAGAGAGAAGCTGCATTATGAGATTTTAGGTTATATATGAAAAAATTAAATACAGATTGAATCATCTACATTTTTATACCACAGAACCTAGAACAATGAAATATAATTAAGTTTTAAAATTTATAACACCGAATATACTTCATGGCCTGCAAATGGGCACAAACCTCTTTCACAGGATCATGGAAGAAGTTTCTCCTGCTACTTGTAGCATGTTCTATAGTAAATAATCCTCAATAAAGAGCTACGTTGGAATAAAAAATATCTAAAAAATGATTAGGAAAGCTGAAGCTGTGATCTGTAATATTACTGGCCAAGTTGACAACTAGAAGAAAGATCAAGGAGAATAGCTTCAGCCAGGGAAGGCTAATCTTAACGTGACTTTGCTTGTATGCTCTTGTCTTATTTCTCTTTTATTGTTCAGTTGTTTGAATATGCTTTAACTTTACATTGTGGGTGACGAGGCTATTTCAATACACATTTATCTGTGAGGATTGTAACCACATCAAGATGAATTCAGGCTATCTGTGATTAGTTGGTGCTTAACATAAAATTGATTTTGTATCAAAAAAGCTCATTTTAAGGTATTAAATATTTAGCAGAAACAGATAAACAAGTGCCGAGGTTTATCTCTTTAAAATTTCTTTCCATAATCAGAGATCTAAAATCAACTAGGATAATTTTTAAGTTATTTTGTTTTAAATTTTGCACTATTTGAAATTATTCAAATGAATAAGCTCTAAAGAGAAACAGAAACCTTGTTAATTGAGAATTTGTTTTTCTACATATGAAAACCTAACTGGCTGCTGATATCTAAATTTGTGGGTTTTGACGTTGTGTATTAAATGTTTGGGCATTTTTACCAATAGCTCCTCTCAGCAGAGGATCAGCTAGAAGGCTTGGTTAATGTTTATATCAGACATAGCTCTTAGAGAAGGTCAAAGTACGGGGCAGTCACCTGTATTTTATGCAACCTTAAATGAATGAAACATACTTTACCACCTGATGATTAATAAATAAGTTTATGCCTTTCATCTGATAATTACCTTCAGGTTAATCCGAGCCTGAGAATGTAGAGTATAGATTTAATATTTTAAAGTTTTCATGAGTTCCTTACATAAGTGTCAAATGCAGCACCAGTTATGACATGAAACTAATCTATTTTCATCTTTGTTAATAGTGTCTAAGGGCATAAAAAAGGAAAATCTTGACGGTTATGAACTGAAATACAAAGCTATTTAGATGTAAGAAAGTGTGCTCCCTCTCTCCTATGTGTGTTAATGTAAATGAGCTTTTTATTTTATACACATAAATATGACTATCCAGTGTACTGATTATAAAACGATAGCACGACGTTCTTGGCCAGTCACAGTCCTGAATATCTCTTGATTTTCTGCCCTTATCATACAAAGGTTAACCTTGAGTTTTTATGAGCAATACAACTTAATATGATTGTCTTTTAATGTCTCTTGATTTAAAAATAGAAATTTTCTGTTTGTACATGATTCTCCCATTTGGCATTTTCACGGGGAGATTTAAATCAATCATACATTTAAAACCAAATATCAAATCTCAGGAGAACAAACCTCTTCTAAGAGATTTATCTTTTTCCTTTGAAATTATCATCTTTTCTCCTTGAAATTATTTTGAAAGTATTTTACCAGTGCCTTGAGATGGAACCACTTTTGTCTAATTCTCTGATAGTCTCATTATTTAGCAGCATAATGAGACACCTTTAAAAGAACTCCTTATACTAGATTGTGAAAATCAGAGCATCATTTTTGTTCACTGTTGAAACAAAATAAACTGATTTATTTATCATTACCAAAATTTCATTTTCTGAGAAACAAGTTGAAAGAAAAGCCAAATGTAAACATTTAAAAATATTTGGCAGTAGAAATGTAACTATATAGGCAAATGTCTTTGTCAAAGTTCTGGAGAAAGATATTATGAAGATGGAAATCAAGAGTTAGCAATAAAAACTCAAAAATCAAAATTTCAAACTGAAACATACTAAAATATTTTTATTTCATATTATGATAATTTATGCAATTTTTATAGTTAAAAAAACATTTTTATAAACTTATTTTGGAACATGGGTCCCAGGTTTACTATTTAAATGACTGAATAACTTAAAGGAATTTTTCTGAGTTATAAATGTGGATGGATTTACTGGGAATATATCAGTCATGCCTTTCTTTCCTTTATCTTTTATATGCATATTTTGTCCATTTTGACATAGGACTATTATGCATAGCTTCAACCTCTTTTTTTGATGGGATTGTTATAAAGTTGTGCATATGCTATATTTGGACTTTGCTAACTGTAATTCTAACAAAGCTCTTGCTATTTTGCTAACATTCATATTTAGGAGTCAATTCAAAGCATACATTTGCAGGGACAATAGAACAAAAAGATCAAATGTTTACATATTTTATAGACTAAGTGACTTAAAAAAATACTCTATGACACATCACTTAAGAGCCTATTAGGAATTCATTAGAATTTTTTTTTTCCCCAGCAAAGATCTTGCCAACTTTACCTGACTCTGCTTTTAAGCGTTGGGCAACGTAGAATAGGATGCCATCTGCAGTAAGAGGCTGGAACTGCAACTGAATATGTGTCTTTTTTCGAACAGGAAAGGAAGCAAAAGACATCCAGGATAATTCGTGGCTTTTGAAAGATGGATCACTTATAGACAAAGCTTAAAAAACAAAACAAAACAAAGACCTGAATTTCAAAAGTGTGTTGCTCATAAATACAATAAATTCACATAGTTTTGTCATTTAAGAACTTACCGTCCAAGAGTTGCTCCCAACTGAACACATTGAACCTTGGTAACTCTGTTCTAATCCCACTAACTAGAGGCCAATTAAAAAAACCTTCTGTGCTCCTTTTGTTTGGTACTGTGTGACACAAATCCTCTGCTCCAGGTTGCATTATAGAAAGACTTCAGATGCATAGATTCTGAGAATATCTTATTCGTATCTCAAAAATGTGAGATTCTAGGGAATGTCTTACATTAAAAATGCTTACATTAAAAAGGATTCAAATAGAGGAAGATAGAAGGCATCACTATATGAATTATTCTTCAGTTTCTATATATCTGATTAAAGTATAAAGTGTAATCAAGAGATATTTTAAGTGATTATATATATATATTAATTTTTTCTTTATTATTATTTTTGGGGGCTGCGTCTGGTCTTAGTTGCAGCATGCGGGGTCTTTGTTGAGGCCTGTGGGCTTCTCTAGTTGTGGTGCGCGGACTCCTGGGCATGTGGGGTCCAGAGTGCATGGACTCTGTAGTTTGCGGCATGCGAGCTCTCGTTGAGGTGCGCGAGCTCACTAGTTGTGGCGTGTGGGCTTAGTTGCCCTGCAGCATGTGAGATCTTAGTTCCCTGACCAGGGATCAAACCCGAGTCTCCTGAATTGGAAGGTGGATTCTTTACCACTGGACCACCAGGGAAGTCCCTAAGTGATTATATAAATCGAAATAAATGTCAGTTTACTTGGCATTAATTTAGGACCATACCTCTGCAGAAGGTGCTAACTCTTGGGTTTTACTTCAGGTTAAGCATGAGAAAATTCATTTCAATATGAATTGAAGTAGAATCATTTATACAGGTTTATAGTCCCTCAGATATTACTTGTTGCTTCTGTGTATAACTGACCAGATGGGAATTATTAGACGAAGAAGGAAAGTTCTGAACACTAGGCAGTTTTTATCTCTTTACGGAGTCTATATTCCTTCTTTCTCATTTTATAATGTGACAGTGTTTCTTGTGTGTGTGCTGGTTCACCACTTACCTTGAGCCATTAATCTAGTTATTTTGCCTTTTCTCCCTCTGGGTCAGGCCTGTACTAACTGTTGTCTTTCACTTTTAGGCTGATAGGTATCTGGTAAGTGTTTACCCCAGAGGCATTCGCTGATTTTTAAGCAACTACATCATTCATTTTGACTTATTGCAATTAAGAATGGCAGAGGTTAGAATCACCCGGGGTAGTTGCTAAGGATGCAAAGTCCTGTACCTCATTGCTAGAGCATCTGAATTATTAAAACTGAGATGTGGTCTAGGAAGTAGACACATGTTAATAAACATCCAGGTATTTCTGACTTAGGTGTCACTTGAACCATATTTTCATAAACACTGAATTAAAGTTTATATTAAGAATACAGAGAAGGTTTTAAAAGTGTGTCCTTTTGAAATTATTTTTTTAAGTATTACTAAAGCAAGACCTATTTATTATAAGTCATTTAAATAATACGGAAGAGTGTAAAGTAAAAAGATGAAATGTCATTCTTCTTTCTCTTCTCTTAATTCCCAGGAACCACTATTAACAGTTTATTGAATTTTATATAGCCAGGCCTTGTTTTTCAGTGCACATACAATTAATGTGTGTGTATATCTAGTACCCGATTTATTTCACATAAATGAAACCATATTATATATAAACTATACATAATATACTTGCCTTTTTTACTCAATAATCTGTCTTCACGAAACTTTGACTTCAGCGTGTTTTGCCTATTGGTTCTTTTAAATACTTGCACAGTATTTTAAAAAATAGACCTGGTTAAAAATAGTCCATCGTTTACCTTAGTGTTCATTCTTAGTGTACATTCTGTGGATTTTGACAAATGTATAGTGACGTGTATCTACCATTATAGTATCATAAAGAATAGTTTTACTGCCCTAAACATCTACTGTGCTTCATTTATGTACCCTTCCCTTCTCCCCTCCCTCTGGTAACCACTGATATTTTTATTGTCCTCATAGTTTTGCTTTTTCCAGCATGCCATAGAGTTGGAATCATACAGCCTGTAGCCTTTTCAGATTGGCTTTTTTCAATTAGTAATAGGTATTTAAGGTTCCTCCATGTCTTCATGGCTTGATAGCTCATTTCTTTTCAGCGATGAATAATATACCATTGTCTGTAAGAACAACAGCGTATTTATCCATTCACTGACTTAAGGACATCCTGATTGCTTCCAAGTTTCAGCAATTATGAATACAGCTGCTATAAACAACGGTGCACAGGTTTTTTGTGTGGAGATAAGTTTTTAACTCATTTGGTTAAATACCAAGGAGTGTCATTGCTGGATCATTGGTAAGAGTATGTTTAGTTTTGTAAAAATTGCCCACTGTCTTCCAAAGTAGCTGTATCATTTTGAATTCCTGCCAGCAGTGCATGAGCATCCCTGTTGCTCTATACCACTTCTAGCATTTGGTGTCGTTAGTGTTTTTGATGTTTGCTGTTTTAGTAGGTGTGGTATCTCACAGTTGTTTTAATTTGCAGTTCCTTAATGACATATGATGCGGATCATTTTGCTTATGCTTATTTTCCATCTGTATATCTTCTTTAGTGAGGTGTATGTTCAGATCCTTTGCCCACTTTTAAATTGGGTTTTTCATTTTCTTGTTGGTGAGTTTTACAAGTTCTTTGCCTATTTTGGATAACAGTCCTCTCTCAGACATGTTTTTGCAGATATTTTCTCCCAGTCTGTGGCTTGTCTTCTCATTATTTTGAAAGTCCTTTGCAAAGCAGAAGTTGTTAATTTTAATGAAGTCCAACTTAATTCTTTCTCTCATGGGTCCTGCCTATGGTGTTGCATCTAAAGTCATCACCAAACTCAAGGTTATTTAGATTTTTCTCCTATCTTCTAGGAGTTCTATAGTTTTGTATTTTACATTTAGGTATACGATCCATTTTGAGTTAATTTTTGAGAAGAGGATAATGTCTGTGTCTATCTAGACTTTTTATTTTTTGCATATGCATATCTAGCTTTTTCAACACCACTTGTTTGAAAGACTATCTTTTTTCCATTGTATTGCTTTTGCTCTTTTGTCAAAGATTAACTGACTGTATTTGTGTGGGCATGATATTTTATAGAATGGATATAGGATAATTTCCTTAGCAGTTCCCTCACTGAAGGACATCTCAGCCATTTCTTCTGGTTTCCCATCCTATCTCTCTGGCTGCATGTGCCTCTGTCCTCTAAATTTTATAATTCCTCAGTGCTTTCCTAGCTTCCTCCCTCTTTTTTGCTTTCTCTTGGTGATCTCTCATCTAGTTCCATGTGCTCAAAAAACATATCACAACTCCTTTAAAATTTATATCTGTCTAAACATTTTCTCTGAGCTCAATCTCATATAGCCATCATTCTCATTGATAACTTGTCCTGGATATCTCAGTCATATCAAGTTTAACACGTTTGAAATTGTACTGCTCGAAAATATTCCTCCTCCAGACTTCCTCAGATCAGTAAATGGATCCCTTATCCATTCACGGCTCTGTACAGAAAACTGGTAGTCATCCTAATTGCACTCTCTCCGACGTTTCCTCTGCCTTTGCCAGGGTAATGCATCAGCAGGTCTTGCAGATCCTGTCTGGATGATATATTTATGTCTGTCTACAACTTTCCATTTCCATTGCCACTATCCAGATTGAGGTCACTATCACCTCTTGATTAGACCATTGCAATACACTCCTAGCTGACCTTTCACTTCTCTTAACCCCCTCTAATTCATTTCACATAGTTGCCAGAGGAATCTTTTAAAAACATGAATTCGGGCTTCCCTGGTGGTGCAGTGGTCGAGAGTCTGCCTGCCGATGCAGGGGACACGGGTTCGTGCCCCGGTCCGGGAGGACCCCGCATGCCGCGGAGTGGCTGGACCCGTGAGCCACGGCCGCTGAGCCTGTGCGTCCGGAGCCTGTGCTCCGCAACGGGAGAGGCCACAACAGTGAGAGGCCCGCGTACCGCAAAAAAAACAAACAAACAAAAAAAAAAACCATGAATTCATTCCCCTGTTTATAATCTTTAGGGATTTTACTTAGAATAACTTGTGGATTCTTTACCATGGCCTCTGAGGCTTTGTATGATTTGGTTTCCTGTTAAATCCCCGACATCATCCCCATCTGCAGGTCCCCCAGGTATTGTTATGCAGATGGTACACTGCACAACTCCATGGGGTGCCATTCACATTTCAGTCTATGTGAAAAGTGCTCCCTGGAGATGTTCAGTGAACAGCCTACATGGTGGCCCTGTCTGTCCACTTTCCTCCTTGTTCGTTAAAATCCATATACGCTGGCCTCCTTTTACTTCTGGATATATCGTAATTTATCTCCGGTTAACTTTAACCACTCTCACATTGATAGACACTTGGGTTGCTTAAAATTATTTTGTTATTGCTAATACTTCTGTAGTGAACATACTTGGTTATACCTCCCTGTAAACATGTAAGAACGTTTCTCGTGTATAAATATGTGAGAAATAGAATCTCTGTGTCATAGTCCAAGTGCATTTTTAGAGTTAGTAGATGCTACGAAAGTCCCCTCCAAAGTTGTCTGCACCAATCTATACTCCAGTCTGCAGTGGGTGACAGAGTATGCATATCGCCACCCACACTTGAAATTATTCACATTTTTAACTTGGGGCAATCATACAGGATTTAATATTTAATTAGCAATTTGCTGATTACAAGTGAAGTTGAGCTTCTTGTTTGAGTATCACACATTTGGTTTTTCTGTGACTTTTCTGTTCATGTCTTTTGCATGTTTTTCTATTGGATGTGAAGTTTTAAAAATTTATACTGTATACCAATCCTTTCTTATATATTTTGCAAACATAATCTCATTCATTTTTCTTTGGACTTTGCTTATGGTTTGTTTTGTTATTCAAAAGTTTTATTTTTTATTCACCAA